GCAGGCACAGCTATGAGGCCCATATAATATGGACAGTCTCGTACACACCCATTAGGAAGAGATAAACGTCGATGATGGGTCCCTGCGCAGACCAAAGTCAGGAAATCAATTCACTGTATGGGCACGAAGCGTCGTATTTTTGCCCACTTCGCATAAAAAATTCTGCTGACTGCATGCTCCAATGGCACCATAATGAACAGCATTGCAGTCCTCAAAAGCAATGATGGGGGAGCGGCTCGCCCGCTAGGTGCCCACGATTCACCACCCATTCATTGTTGGCTTGCTGGAGGCTGGTGCCTGTGAATCACAGCTTGTTGCACGGGGACATGGGGAGACTCCCTCTCTCCCTCAACCCCCACCAATCTCCCATGCCTTCACACCTTCATTTCTATTGGGCGAGTTATAACTCTACACCATTGCACCATCCCTTTGTTTCTATGACAATGCTCTGCAGATAATCTGCGCTGGGGTCTCCTCCTGGGTGAATGTGTGGATTTGTGGGAATTCACCTCAGCTTTCTAAAAGCCATGGAAGGCTAAATTGAGGGAAAAACTGTAGGCATCTTTTTTTAAATCATGATAAAACATCATGATCTTCATTGCAAAAATCTGTTCATTCTCATATATTTATTGCTTTTCTTTGTGCCTTTGGTCACATTGGTATGCTCCTCTGGTACATTCAATTTCACCTTTTACACGCAAACCCACACTCATGGAGGAAGCTAAATAAAGCCGTGCTCTGCTGTCACATCCTGGCTGCTGATGTACCCAGCTGATGCGAGCCTTTCACTCCTTGGAGACTGTCTGTCAGTTCCCCACGGTCACCAGCCACTGTCACCACGGTGACAGATGGACCTGCCTGTTGGAGGCCATCGCTCCTGGCGAAGATCTAGCAACACACACGGGCGTATCGTGGACAGACAACATAATCTGCCTAATAATGGCTTCCGATTAGCGAGTGCTTTGCTGCCAGGGTTTTGCAACAGTTCCTATCTGTTGATGGAAAACGTACCCTGCTCAATCCCTGAAATCATTGTTAAAGTGCACAGATATTAAGCTCTGTGTGTCAATGCATTTTTCAAAACCACATTTTCTTAAAGATTTAACTTTGCATTGTCGTTATGCACCCACACTATTGGAACTAAACCAGCTGTAGGGCTGTCACACAGAGAAAACTAGTTTGTGTCTGCTGAAAACATATTTTCACTGCCTGAGTTTTTCCTCGGGCAGCGAAACAAGATGACTGTTTTTCTGTCAAGCTCAATACATTATATTTACTGCTATCCTCAATACACTGGATACTTTATTATTCTGGCTTCATTGGAATTCACAATAATCCGTTTTGATATCATTAATCACCAAACCACATATCATATCAAATGTAGTGCCCTGTAGGTTGAGCAGTCCTCAATTACTCACTGTTAAGAATGGATTTTCTGCCACAAATTTCAAGATTTAGTAAGCAGAACAAAATGAGCTGAAGGGGGGGG